CCTAAAACCTATAAATTTGTGCTTTGAAAATATTTGCGCGACGCTGAGAGGTCTTCCAAAAAATCGATATCAAACTTCTAACAAAAATGCTCACAAATGTCCGACTTTTAGAAACTGAGCAATACTTGGCTGAAGATGCAGTTTTTCATGCTGATTCAGAATATGACCTTATTTTCAGGAAAAGGTGCTTTTTGAGGAAGAAAACTGCGAAATACTCCAAAATCCTTAGGGTTTTTGGAAAGCCTGGAACGAAGCATCCTTACCGAACTGCGCTTAGCTGCGACCAGTATATGTGGAGGAGGTGTAGATGAACATTTTGAGCTATTTTTCATGTTGATATCTAGTGCGCGGAGTTGCGCGCGTGCATTTTTATGAAGTCACCTTTTTTTAAACAGGTTTTCTAGAAAGATCTTTGAGCCTCAACAGAAATTTAACTTGTTCTTCCAAAACTTTTTTACGTTTAGAAAGCCCAACACCTGACGATTCCATATCAGTGTTTGCTTTTCAAAAAAAATTCAAATTTGATGGAGAAAATGCAATTTTAAATACCAACACGCCTATTCCGCTAGTAATTTTGTAACTTGGTTTTCTCCACTTTGGAAGCAGCTAGACCAAAAACTTTTTCACTGTTAAATAGGGCATTGTTTACACTATATATACCGCTATTCAAAACAGAAAATTTCGTATCTACGATTTTTTCAGAAAATGCCGCCTAAATGCCCACTGTGGGGTGATCCCTTGATAGGTAAAGGGTTGAGAAGAATACTGTTGAAAATTGTTCACAATGAATGTCTGAATGTGTTAAATTTGAATAAACAATAATTTGATTTAAATAAGTGAATAATGAATCCTTGGTAATTTTCAGTATCAATGATTTCACATTTGGATACGTTTTTCTAAGTACGAAAGGAAAATGATGCTATGAATGAAGAATTGATAAATGTTTGACAGTTGTACAGACTGACTTTACACTATTATAATTGTTTGTATTTATGGAAATTGAATTCAATAATTTATCATACTTGTATATGTTTAGTGAGATTTTGCACATTTGCAATAATATTTCATCTTCTGAATAATTAAATGTAAGGTACAATTTACGTTCCAAATAAAAATATGATGTGACTAACGATTCGAAATCAAAATAATTAGTTGTCGAAATAGTCATATAAAAGTCCAACTGTTTTAAATCTGATAAATGAATGAATATCACTTTCCATTGATAGCCGTCTTTTGGGTGGGTGCCGGTGGTAAATTTCTATTTCCAACAATAATTGTCGCAATTGACCTAAACCATGACACCATTCTTTCGCGAACATTTTCCGCGAACGAATCTTCTGTAAATTTTTCATAATACAAATTTAGCTAATTGTAGCAATGCGTGGGAGTGGCGATGAGGGCAGTGTGAGAGTGAGTTCGAAAAGTAGTTTCACATAAAAGATATTTGCATGACATTGTGTGAATTTGCTTCAGCTTGTGAAGCAGTTATCTGGTATGTCAGTATTTCAAGTTGAAACTAGATTACAATTGTTTTAACACGTATGTTCAGTAATACCCATTGCCTTGTTAATTTACTAAAGTTTAGTTTTCTTGTCATTTATTTGCAAAGAATCGCGGAAGAGTCGGTGAATCATAGTGTCAAGACTCAAAAAAGGTGCACAATCTAGGAAAAAAGATAGTGAAATAGTCGGTTGTCGATTAGCATGTGGTAGAGTCAGAAGCATGTTATCAAACAAAATTTCATTCACTATTAACACTAGAACGCCCGGAAATTTTCATGACCTAGAACGCCCAAAGCGGTCATTTTGATCGTTACTGTTTTTTATAAAAATTTTATACTTAAAAATGCTTCTGAATTCAAAAATGAATTAAAAATTCTGCAAAAAATAATTTTTGTGGGACAAATTAAAAGTTATGACATAATTTATTTTTAAATAAATTGTATGCAGTTTGTTTTATTAAGGATAAAAATCACAAAACGGTCAAAATGACCGGGCGTTCTAGTGTTAATCTTTTTTAATCTTTATACCATTTTCATTGGAACATTGGATAATTTCTTCTTAGATTTTTTCAAATATTCTGATATATTCATTATAAATGACTGACTGATCACAGAAAGTGTTAGTTTATATATACGAAAAGAAGAAAATATTTCTTGTCGATATTTAGTACTTTAACCTAGTCTAGTATGTAATTTTTACGTTCTATTTAGATTAATCTGGAATCGGATATATCAACTTTGATTATCTCTTTTTGTTTTTTTTACTGATGATCTGTACTACGTCGTTTTCAGAATTGTCATCTTCGTATATAACTTGTTTATCATATGACTCTCTTCTCTTGTTTGTTGAATACATATTCTTTTTTTTTCTCTTCTTTTCTTTCTAATATCTGTACACAAGTTTAAGATATGGAAACGAACAATCTTTAGCTCCAAAAACCCATCAAATATGACGAGACAGCAGGAATAAATAAACATATACACATTTACTGGTAAGTGGCTTTTCTTCTTTCCTTTTCTTTCTGCGGTTTATGGTACTATATACATCTTCTAATTCTTGATTACGATATGATTAGATAATATGCATATGCGGTTTTTTTTTTCCAGTTTTTTTTTTTTTTTTTTTTTGTAGCAATTTTCTTCTGCCCTTCATTCTATTTAGATGTTTTCTCAAACTGTACAGAAACCATATTTCATATTGTACTAAGTACATATCAACGTTATTCAATGAGAAAAATGTACTAAAATGTATTCTACTAAAATATTATTATCTCTTACTGATTATTATTACACAACCAGATCTTTGAACGAATAAATGGACGATATTTAACAAGTACAAGGACATTTAACCATGTCATATATCAAACTTTTATAACGCTGCATTTATGATTATAGTTATGACAAGAAATATTCCACATGAATAATATTACATTTCAAGACGCGACGGTAAGATGAAAATGAATGCTTTATGTCTAGTAGTTTGACGAGAAAAAATTTTGAAAATTATTCAATTAGTTTTGAGAAATTTATGTGAATCATTTCAGAATATCATGAACTGGTTAACGCTACATACGAATTTATGAAAAGTAACATAAAATGTATTTTTATATAAATATAGATAGAAATACTTGGATAAATAATAATGCAAGTTTTTTTCTTTAGACTATGACTTTTACGCTAGATGGATATTTTACTAGCGAATAGTTTTAGGTTTAGAACAACTAACGATTGAGTAACATTTGTGTGTTTATAGCAGTAAGATAACATTTAATTTACTTAATTTTAGTTAACACAAAATCCATTTACATTTACCATTACCCCTCAATTTCTTAATACCTCATCATTATTTGGTGCATGTCCAATATTATTAAATGATCCTACATCTTCTTCTCAACCACAACAACAAACCGTTATAACATCAAATAATCCTCTACTTCAGTTAATTGGACAACAGACTGTACTAACACCGACTAAGTCACAATTTAATTCTACAACTGATATGACTGTATTATCAACCCCTAGTATTCTTTCACCACCCACGATTAATTTCGTTCTTGATGTATCATCATTAGCGAGTCTCGGATTCTTACAAAGTCTTTTTACAACTAGTATACCAACTGTTTTACATTTACCAGAATCGCCACCAATTACCGGCACATTAATTACAACTAATTCTCCGGCGTTCGAAGAACAGCTAAGAAAATTAGTTACAACTCCAACATTAGATGGTTTTATCTTACAACCAAATAGTATTACTCCAACGGCAATAACTCCTCAACCTCAAGAAACAGCTGCATCTGCTCCATCGAAAGCAAAACTACCACGAACATCAAAAAATCGCTCTAAACTCATTTCATCCGTCAGTTCATTAGAAAATGACGTTACATTTACATCTCGTGCACGTAAAAAACCGGCGTCTGAACCATCAGCTAAACGAGTAATTCAAGAGGATGAAGATGATACATGTCATATTATTGAACCACAACAATATCGAAAAATTGAAGTGAATGTTCCTCAGCATAGTATGATCGATGTCAAGGAACTGTTGCCATCTGCTCCATCAACACCTGCTATTCAATCGATATTAATTAACCACACTGGTGACGAATGTTCAACAACAGTAGTTATTAATAAAGCAATATCGTCTACTGCAGCAGCCACTACTACTCCGAAGAAAAAAACTGTACGAAAACGTGTTAAGAAAACGGGAGTCGATGATAATGCGTTATCGATTTCAACCTCAATACTAATGAATATGCCGTCAAGTCTCCTAACTCCTTCATCTGTACCTCCACCATCTTTGGCTCCCCCAAGTTCTCTCAGTGGTCTCTCACCACCCCTCACTCCTGCAGAATTTGTTCAACCATCTACACAACCATTGGACAACTTATTCGCTTCATCTACAGATTTATTTACTGGTCCATGGTCTGAGGCTCTATTAAAAGATATTCCTAACACAGATTTATTTGATTTTGATCATTTTGATTTTGATGCACTTAATCAACAGAATCTACAACAGCAAGTAGAGTATGATGCGTCGACACAATTTGATTTTTTATTTGAAAATTGTTTGTAATAGCTGAAAAATGATGCTGTGGCACAGAGTTTAGCTCGTTATTCATACTTTAACATGTTTTATGTGATAAAACACGATTATCGTTGTAAAATATATATATCTGACTTATAAAACAGAGCCGTGAGAAAGTGATTATCACTTAGCATTTTAGTGATTCATACGAAAATACTCGTCTCTAAAAAATTCTTCATGAGTATTTTACCAGTATTGGATACTGAGAAACGCTCTAACATTCTTCATTGCAAACGTTTTTTGATGTCATCTATTGAATAAAAATGAAATTTGTACACAATTTTAGGCAAAAAACAGTTCAATCTAGCATTTTCACACAAAATAAGCCAAATACAACTTAATGTAACCTATTGTATGACTATTTGAATCAAAAATAGCCATATTTTAACCATTGATCTAGAGTATTTTTGCCGTAGTCTAATAAAAATTTATTTTGACGTTAATGTTTTTCCACTGGACGAAAAAATTTCAAAGGGCGTGAGTGGTTAAGTTAGAAATTTGATCTTTCAGAAATGAATTTTTTCCTGTCAGAAAGAAATATATCAATAAGTCACTAGGATTATTTTTTTACAACTAAGTTTCTTAAAAGTTTTCTACAGAATTTTTGACGTTATGGTCCCGAAAGATTTCTGAAAAGCGTTTTTTCTCAGACTTCTCAGATTTTTTCAAAACTACATGAATTAGATGCAGAATTTTACGCAGATCGCGAATATCATCTGTATATTTGAAAAAATTGAGTTTTCATGTAGAGAAGCGTATTTTACTGAAAAGAGCCCATTATAAAAGGTATTTTGCACGTTTAGAATATGTGTTTGGAAACAGAATTCGTTTTACGTTAATAGGTCGGAAAATTCCAGAACGAATTTCTACAATCTAAAATAAGAAAAAATTCTGACTTTTCGTCCTAACTTCTCCACTGTTAGGTAATGAAAGATTAGAACAGTAAGTAATTGATGTCATATGAACAAATTTTTATGCTCTATCCAATGATGAAACTTTAAGTAAAAAAAAATATGCATCTGTTAAAAATTCAGATTTAAACGATTTTCAACAGATTTCTGGTGGTATGTCCTAATTTTCGCGACTAGTTTTCACCAAAAAATTCAGTGTTGGTGCGCCCCAAGAAAGTGGAAAAATAAGTTCTGTATATTTTACGTTAATCTGCTGTTTTTTACTCAATTGCCAAAATAAGCCATCTCAAATCATAACCAGTTTAGAAAATTCGGTTTAGGAAACTTATTTTTTCATTTTCTAAGGTCCAATTTTTTAGGCCAAAATAGTTAGTGACGAAAATTACTCTAAAATGCTCTCTAGAAAAACTTTCGATAAGCTTGATTGTAGAAAATGATCAAAGTGACTTATTGATTTGTTTCTGACAGAAAAATTTCTAACTTGACTAATTAGGTACTATCTCCAAATTTTCTCAAAACTCTGCCCACTCGTGCTTCATGGCACATCTGCGATATATGAGATTAGATGTTATAGCTAGCAGTTCCGATGCGTACCATGACTGAATCCAATAACGCACTTTCAGATAATTTTATCTGTATAGACCATAAACTCTATCTCCATGTTTACACCTGTAGATCGCAAATAGAATATTTAAATTTCATGGGCAAGAATCAACACTTTTCCTTATCATATCAGACTTTATTCAAAATGATAATTGAAAACAATCTATTTTACAGATGGCTATACTGTACGCTCAAATTAAAATGTTCCACGATCAATATTTTGGACATTAAGATGGATTTGTTGTAGTAAGGAATGACGACGAAAATTGTTACAGTTTTTTATTTACATTTTTCATTTTCTCTACAAAGCTTGAAAAAGAGAAAGTTCTGTTTTCCTTAGCCAGTTCTAACTTGAGTTTTTGGATACATTCATTACAGGCACAGGTTGGAGAGTTTACATTTGCCGCAAACTGAAAATTTTTATTAGCTCCAAAGTTTGCTGCAAAATCAGACTTTTTCACATTCTAGGCAGAGATGCAACCGGTCAACAGAATCATGACTGGTGTACGGTGACCGACAAACATGTGCAGACCGGATCGGACCGGTCGGTTGACGGACCATTTTTCTAAAAATTTTGATCGATAAGCGACCGGTACTCACATTTTCCACGAACTTTTCGGGATAGTGATTGTTATAAGAATAGTGGGTTGATCTGCTTCATTATTTGCATATATGATCAGTTGTACCATATATCAGACGATCCGCTCGTGTGAGTGCGAGAGAAATATGTTTAAATCTGTGTGATATGTTAGCAAATAAAACCAGATTGATTAAAGTGTTTACTATCATAGACAGAAATGTCTCTATCACTACTTCTTTTGCATTTCTTCTCCTCATTTGGAATAAAAGACTTTGCCGTATGCTTTATATGTTGTTAGGCGTATCTAGTACGCGATAATTTATTTTATTTCTCTATTATCTTTATTTATTATATTTCATTTTTATATTCCATATATATGGGTATCATAATCCTATCAAGATTCACAGTGTATATTTATGTGTCTTTGTATTACACATGCATTATGATTCAATTTTCGAAAATTGCTCATAATTTGACTACATGTTATTCACATAAGTTTCACGAAGAACAATCAGAGATTCAACATTTGCTGGTGATAAACGACTACGTGTTTCAGAAACAATAGTACCATCAGCTGAAAAATGTCTTTCTGATTGAGGGCTGGCATAAACCCGATTCCTTCCGAATTTTAGTTTTCATGAAGGAATTTACTTTTATGGTTTTGAATGGCATCAGCAGTAGTTGTGACATTGTTTAATTGATTAAGTGACATTATCGTTTCAGCATGATTGCTAGCCACAACCAAGAAAAACAAACAAGCATTTCTTCTACTTTAACAAATAACTCATTTCATCACATGACTCGGGAAAAATAAAAGCACGGTACAGATGCCCACCTATGTCACGGTGGAAATCAAAAAACATCTTATAGTAACTTTTCGGCTATATTTTTTTGAAAAAAATGAAGCAATGTACAGTTTTACATATAAGCTTGCGTGTTCGACGGCTCTGAAATAAACAAAAGCACGCTAAGTCTGATCTTCTATGTTATGACACACATCTTTGATAGTAACTATATGGTTCTATTCATTTTCCAAAAACGAACACAGCAAAACATTTTTTTCCCAGAAAACTTCACTAAACTTATTATTCTGCACAAAAAGATTAATATTACAAATTCGGTAGAATACATCTACCTTTTCATAATAACTCTCTCAGGACATGTTCCCGTCGGGACTTTTAAAATAATATTCGATGTATCTTTCTTCAACAGTCAATTCAAACAAATTATTTATCCGAATATCTTGGATGCAGGCAGGAGATGTATGTGACAGACAACAGAATGAAATGAAAACCTACGAAATGGTGACAAATACTGCAGTAATAACTATTAGAATACCTGTTGAAGATTGATATTGCTTATTTTGCGTTAATGTCTCACTGGTATTTCGCATTGATTGTTTTTGTATAGCTAAATCTTGCTGACCAAGCACTGTCGGTTGAATTGTTTTACCCATTTTTATAGGAT